TCCTACCGCAAATGCCAAGTCGAGTCTTGTACAAACTCGTGCATACATCAAACTCCCTACCTGCAGATGCATAAGGAATGTTACTCATCTCGCTCCTTTTCTAATGCATTTTATGGACATTGATTCGGATTGAATTTATCCCCTTTGACAATGGGTGCTACCGAAGATGCACAATTTGACATCCCGAATCTTTCCAAGACTTTTTCAATGTAGGCCTTTTGAGACAGCTTCTAATAATTTTTGAGATCTATCTCTCGTGAATCTCTATGCCAATGACATAAGAGGCTTCACCTAAATCCTTCATATCAAAGTTTTGAGAAAGAAATTGCTTAGTCTCATGAAGCAAACCCAAGTCATTATATGCAAGCAAAATATCATCTACATATAGGACAAGAAAAATATATTTGCTCCCACTAACTTTAAGGCATATGCATTGATCAACAATGTTCTCAATAAAACCATACGAGGTAATAACATTGTGAAACTTGATATACCACTGTCGGGAGGCTTGCTTTAGCCCATATATAGATCTTTTTAACTTACAAACCAAGTGGCTATTTGTATCATCATAAAAACCTTCAGGCCGATTCATGTATACCTCTTCATCCAAATTTTCATTTAAAAATGTTGTTTTCACATCCATCCGATATGGCTCCAAATTGAAATGAGCTACTAATGCCATTATTATTCTAAATGAATCCTTTTTGGAGACCGGAGAAAAGGTCTCATGATAGTCTATGCCTTCCTTTTGGGTATAACCCTTAGCCACAAGTCTAGCTTTATATCGTTCGATATTACCGAAGAATCTCTCTTGGTTTTATAAACCCATTTGCAACCAACGGCTACGGATCCTTTTGGTAATTCGACGAGGTCCCAAACTTGATTTTTATGCATTGACTCTATTTTTTCTTTCATGGCATTATACCATAAATTAGAGTTTTCTCCATTCATGGCTTCGTGAAAACGAGTTTGGATCATTCTTAAGTCCAACATCAAAGTTAGACTCTTGAAGGTATACAACATAGTCATTAGAAATTGTCTGGTCTCCTTACTCTTGAAGATCTTCTTAATTCAACATCTTCATGTGGGTTTGGCTCATCAAGAACTAGTTGCTCTTGAACTTGTTGCTCGAGAATTGGTTGTTGTTCAACATTATCTAATTGACTTTCTTGAACAATAACCAATTACCTTTTATCCTTATGCAACATAGTTGAATCTTATGTTTCCTCAAATTTTATTCTTCGAGGAAAATCACTCCCACTAAGGTTAAGATCCTCAAGAAATTTAGCATTTTTTGCCTTCACTATTCTTGTACTATGAGAAGGACAATAAAACTTATATCCTTTAGAGTTTACTCGCATAACCAATAAAATATCCATTGGTTGTTCTAGGGTCTAATTTCTTTAATTGAGGATTATAAATCCTTACCTCAACAGACAACCCCATATATGTGTATGATTTAAACTAGGTTTCCATCCATTCCATAATTCAAAAGGTGTCTTAGAGATAGCCTTGGATGGAACCCTGTTTAGAATATACACAATAGTCTTTAATGCTTCACTCCATAAGGATAATGGTAAATTAGAATTACTAATCATGCTTCTAACCATGTCCATGAGAGTACGGTTCCTTCTCTCAGCTACACCATTTTGTTGTGATGTGCCAAGCATTGTATATTGTGCAATAATGCCCTCTCCTTAAAGGAACTTTGCAAATGGACCTAGCATTTGTCCTTTTTCAGTGTACCTACCATAATACTCTCCACCTCTATCAAACCTCACAATCTTAATGGTCTCTTCCTTTTGTTTCTCTACCTCAACCTTAAAGGTCTTAAAAGCATCAAGTCGCTTCAGCCTTATCATGTAAAAGATAAAAATACATGAATCTAGAATGGTCATCAATAAATGAGATAAAATATCTCCGACCATTTAGGCAAGGAGTATTAAACGGTCCACATATGTCGGTGTGTATGATTTCTAAAATTTCTAAGCTCCTCGTGGCACTTTTAAGTGGTCTTGTTAGTTTGCTTTCCCTTTATGCAATCCACACAAGTACTAAAATCAGTAAAATCAAGAGCATTTAAAACTCCATCATTCACCAATCTTTTAATTCTTTCAATGGAGATGTGACCTAATCTCCTATGCCACAATGTGGAGGAATTCTCATCAATTTTGCTCCTTTTAATACCTGTATTAACATGCATCGATAAATAGTTGAGCTCAAAAGTGGGGTTTAGATCAATTTTATATAAACCACCAATTAATGTTCCACCACCAATAGAGATTTTATTTTTCAAAATACTAAAAATGTTTTCATTAAACAAAAATCCATAGCCAATACTACATAGTTTGGAAACCGAAATCAAATTTCTAGAAAATGATGGAACATAAAAAATTTTTTCCAAATCCAAAATAAATCTAGATTTTAAAATTAATCTAAAAGTCCCCATAGCTTCAACTTTAGAGCGCATCCGATTTCCTAAATAGATGCCTTCTTCATTTCCTTTCGGCTTTCTTAAGTCCAAAAAGCCCCGCATGGTATTCACAATATGGATTGTAGAACCAGAATCAATCCATCATGTATTATTAGGAGTCTCAATAAAAAAAGATTCATGACACACTAAAGAGATGAGTTTACCTTTCTTCACGAGCCATTTTTGATACTTAGGGCAATCTTTCTTAACATGTCCCCATTTCTTACGAAGAAACATTTACTATTATTGCCATTTTGCTTTATAGGCATATGTTCATGTTTCTTCACTTTTAGAATATTTTTACCCTTCTTGAAATTTCCTTTAGCTTGAGAAACCAAATGAGCACTTTCGAGTTTCTTCGGTTTTAGTCTCCATTCTTCTTGAACACACAAGGTCAATAATTCGTTAATTGACCATTTTTCCTTATATGTGTTATAAGAAATCTTAAACGGACCATATTTCGCGAGGAGAGAGTTCAAAATGAAATGCACCAAGAATGACTCGGAAATCTCTACCTCTAAGGACTTTAATTGAGCAGACAGTTGTCCCTCATTTCCATAATGTGCTCGCGCACACCTTTAGAATAGTCAAATGACTTGTCAGAAAGCTTTTTCATTAGGGTGCTTGGCTAATGCCTTATCAAGATGAACAAATTGTTCTTCTATGGCCTTCAGGAAATCTTTTACCTTAGAGCATTCGTGGATTGAACTCCTTATACTCTTATTTATGCGAGACTTTATGAGCATTAAACTTAAGCGATTAGATCGCTCCCACCGCTCATAATTAGTCTTTTCCTGTGCATCACTTGAATCCGTGGGGATGGGTGGTTCATCCACACATAGGGTCAAATCCAAATCCACACACCCCAATGCAAAGAGAATATTTTCTTTTCAATCACCAAAATTATCACTAGATAGCATTGGAATACTAGATGTATCAATAAAAGCGATAAGAAAAGCCGCAATAACCAAGAAAAGACTTTAATACTATGAAAAACATACTTTATTTAAATTAACCAATGTCAATTTAATAGTAAATTCTAACCTTCCTGTGGGTAGAGGTTGCATCATACATAGAATTCACTAATTCTTTAATAATAAGACTAATAAATAAAATATCAAGAATAAAAAATATTCACACCCGAGGGCCTAGAATAAAATCCATTCTTAATATCAATTTGTTATCTTATTCCAATTAAATCATAAAAATAACAACCTCCCTGTAGGGCCAAGTCATTATTTTTATAAAATAATTACAAATTAAGCTATGTACTTTATGAGCATATTAATTTAATAAACTTTAATGTGATCATCAAAATAACTTAAGATGTTGTGGCTATTCCAAAGTTAATTGACATCATCATCTCAACATAGCATTGCTTTAATATCAATTGAAAACTTTATATTGATATAACTAAATAATCATGTTTCCTTAAATTGATATACAATACAATTTGCATAACTTAAATAAAATATTCTTAAAATATAACACATGGCCATTCCTTATGCATGTATGTGTATGCCATATTAACTTATTATTATTATTTCAATCAAAATAAAAGGAAACAATGCTTGGACAATGTGTATAATATGTACTTGATACATATGAGATGAAATTTCGAATGAAATTAAATTTGGAGCAAGTGTACTTGTGAAAGTACACAAGGACATGATTTTTTTTTTTTTTTTTTATGTTCTAAGAAAAGTATCGGGAAGTTGCACTATCCAAGTTTAATTGTAAGCTTCCCGGAAATCTTTAATTCATGACTTTATATATATATACACACACAAACACCAAAAAGGTAAGGGAAAGAAAAGCCGCCGTTTGAAATCAAATGGAAGTACACATTATATATATATATATATATATATATATATATATATATATATATATATATATATATATATATATATATAGACACACACACGCCGGAAGAGTGGGGAAAAGAAAATTTTACGTGTTGATAAAAATCCGTACCGGAGGGACATAATACTTTTTACATCAATATGCCATACATATACCTTTACTTTAAAGATTTTAATTAAATAACCATATTAGAATACATGATTTTTTTATAAAAATCATAGTATATCCTGAATAAATTTAAGTAATGTATTTCTATTAACACTAATCAAAATAGCAAGAAGGAGGCTCCGATACCACATGTTAGAATAATTAAATATGTCTATGCATATAAGCGCGACGGAAATTAAAAGGATACATACCTCCTGCCATGATTGATTAAGTGCTTAAGATATTGCTTGAAAGAAAACTGGAGCCGCCTAGGGAGAGAGCCTTCTAGTCTATGCCAATACTTTAGGGTTTTGTGTGTTGATGGAAAACACGAGGCTTTACTTACTATTTATATGGCTAGACCGAGTGACTCTTTCTTTAACCTAATTTTACACTTCTATCCATCATGGATGTGTCTAACCCACTACTAAAGTCTATTGGGCTCTAAGTCTTTAAATAGTCATTTATAGATTTAAAACAAACATGAGATATGGGCCACATTATAAAATATTTCTTACATTTTCGTCTTCCTTAGTTCCGTTATCTTGTTTAGCGAAGCACTCTCCGAGATAGTTCCCGTGTACAAGAGCATGTAGCAACGATTCCATAGCAAACTTCGACGATAAATATCCGAACTATTCACAAAAATAAAAAAGTAATCACAAGGATTCACCCACGACGCAAAAATGCAAACAATAGCCCCATTTTCCCAAACGGTTTCGAAAAACCAAACCGGACACCGTATTGAAAAAGACAACTGGAAGATGAATCTTAATCCCAAGTCTTCAATCGGCAAACTTTTTCTCTTAATCGGCGACTTATCCAGCTATTAATTATAGCATGTTTTTTAACGACGAATAACCAATTGCGCAATTAGAATTACAATTACAATGCCATATGGTGGCAAGAGCGGTCTAATCGCTCGATACCCAATTGCGCCGACCTCTGCTTCTTTCTCTTCCGATCTGTATATTCTCTCTTCATATACAACACCGTACCATCATCATCATCCTCGTTGTTATCACCTTCGTAATCACCTTCTTCTTCATTGTCGTTTTCTTCATTTACGTCGTCGTTGCGAGACTTGAAGAGAAATTCGGGTGTGAAAAAGGTGAGGGCCATGCATAGAAATTGTTAGAGAGGCTTGGGAGAAAGGAGGATTTGAAAGAAATGGGAGATGATATTTTATAAATTAAAATGAGTATAATTAAAATGTCATCCCATAAATGAGTATAATTAAGGTTGACCTTCCTAATTGTTTTTAAAAAACATCTTTAAAAAATATATTTTATAAATTAAAATGAATATAATTAAGGTTGACCCCTCAATTTCATAAGTTAAAAATTATATAACAAAACATTTTTTATAAAAATTTTATAAAAAATTTTTTTTTAAAAAAAGGATGTTTAATCTCGGGAGAAAGGAGGATTTGAAAGAAATAGGAGATGATATTTTATAAATTAAAATGAGTATAATTAAAATGTCATCCCATAAATGAGTATAATTAAGGTTGACCTTCCTAATTGTTTTTAAATAACATCTTTAAAAAATATATTTTATAAATTAAAATGAATATAATTAAGGTTGACCCCTCAATTTCATAAGTTAAAAATTATATAACAAAACATTTTTTATAAAAATTTTATTAAAAAAAGTTTTTTTTTTTTAAAAAGGATGTTTAATCTCGGGAGAAAGGAGGATTTGAAAGAAATGGGAGATGATATTTTATAAATTAAAATGAGTATAATTAAAATGTCATCCCATAAATGAGTATAATTAAGGTTGACCTTCCTAATTGTTTTTAAATAACATCTTTACAAAAATATTTTATAAATTAAAATGAATATAATTAAGGTTGACCCCCTAATTCCATAAGTTAAAAATTATATAACAAAAAAAAATTTATAAAAATTTTATAATTTTTTTTTTAAAAAAGGATGTTTAAAAATATTTATAAGATGTTTTTTTTATATAATTTATAAAATATTTATAAGATTTTTTTTTGTTAAAAAAAGTTTAAGATTGTGGAGGTTAAAAATAATTTTTTTTAATAAAAGTTAATAGTGGAATACGATCAAAGCGACTTTGTTTTGACATTCTAAGTAACGAGTTAACATATAATGATAATTAAGAAAATTATATCATTTTTTTCAAAAACTAATAGCTTGAAATTCAAATTATATAATTTAATACTAAGAGTCTAAAATTATCAAATTGTAATATAACAGAAATAAAATCTACCATTAAACCGATCTATGAGTAAACAAGTTGATCCATAGGCTCGGTCTCCTAATTTGCCACTTTAGTCATATTTTTTTTAAGTTTATAATACTTGCTCGCTCTTATAACGGAACCGTGTTTTTCAATTTATTGGAGTAAAACATCTAATTAGGTGGTTCGGCAAGATTTAATTCAATTACGGAATAGTTGAATTTTCTTTAGGTTACAAAGTGGGAGCAACTTTTTTTTTCATAAGAGTGCATTATAGAGTGATTAAAATCTTTCTATATATATATATATAGGTCTTCCTTAAGGCTTAACAATTAACAAACCTTTTCACCAAATCTAGTTGGACTAGTTCATAAGTAAATTATAAATTAGTCTTTTTAGTTTAAAAAATAATTATTAAATTTTTTAACCAGTATCCACCTTACTTAATTTAATATTATTTTATTTTATAACATGTCATTTTCTCATCAATCTTTTTATTAATTAATTTATTTTTCCTTTTTATATCTTAAAATAAAAAATTGAAAAAGATTAAATTACAAGAAAATTTTAAACATAGAAACTGAATATGATTTTTTGAAAAAGTAGGACTAATTAATTCATTTCTTCAAACTAAAAGAACTAATTTATAATTTAATCACTAGTTCATAGATTTCTTTGCTCTCTTCTTTGAAAATGAAGCAACAAGCAATTCTATAAAATTTATTTACAATCTCTCATGTCTTGGGTAATTGATAGCATCGAAATATTTTAAATTAAAATTATTATTTAGACAATATTTTCCTATCATGTTTGAAGTAAAAATTTACTGGTTTATTATGCCCCTCAACTATATTTTTTGATTCAATATATCTTTCGATTAAATAAATAACAAACCATAATTAGTTTAAAGCATGGTTCAAAATTTAATTTAGGTGAATTCTTTTCACGACGAAAGAACAATTATAAATAAAAATAAATAAAAACTGAAAATAATTTTTTTCAATGAAAGAACTATTTTTAAAAAAGTAATTTCTTTACTTATAATCTTTTCAACAAAAATAAAAAAATAAAAGAAATTATTTTAAAAATTTCAGGAATATATATATATATATATATATATATATATATGTGTGTGTGTGTGTGTGTGTGTGTGACATAAAATATTTATTTAAAAATTATTAATGTTGAAAAGTATTATTTTTATTTTTTTCAGAAAAATAATAAATGAATAAATAATAATATATAAAATATTCTTTTTAAATTTATTTATTTATAATTTTTTCATATAAGTTAAATAAGGGAAAAAATATATAATTTTTTCTCTTACTGAAAAAATTATATATAAAGAAATTAAATATTTTACTTTTTATTGAAAACAATTAGTTTTATTGCTATTTATTTCTTTTTTTAACTTTGTTCTTTTACAGAAAAAAATTCCATCTCTAAATTAAAATTTGGATACATGTCAGTTTACAGGTATGTAATGTATCCAAACATGACTTGTTATTTGTTTAATCGAATGACATAAACATAATAAACTAAAATAATAATATAAAGACAGACCAATCCAAATCAATATGGTACAAGAACGATTTTGAGCTTTTGACTTGTTGTTCGTTGCTTAATTTTCTCTTTTTACGTGATAATGTTTTGTCAATCCTAGAGGTTGCATCAGTTTGGGTGGGTAATAATTAAATTTTAATTTTCAGGCATCTGAAATGTAGGAATATAGAGCCTCGTGGATTGGTTTGTAAAATTCGAGTAACATTGGTTTCTTGGATAAGAAAAGTAAATTGGGCTATGCTCATAATTGATTATTTTTCGCGATTGTCGATCCTTGTTTTGCCGTGTTTGGAATGGGCCGAGCCCCATTCCAAAATAAAAATAAGGTTGTTCGGTTAGGTTCGTAAAATCCGTAAAGTCCATTGCCCAAATGTGCTTTCCGAAAATAAAAATAAAAAACCTCAGTCAATCGCACAGTAAAATTATTTTCCAACCCAATTCATCTCTGCATTCCAAATATAGGTTTTCAAAGGCCTCATTGAAAATAAGATGGTGTTTGTTAAAACTAAAAAATAATTATTGAATATTAAGTACTGAATTTTAAATCCCGAATAATTAAATATTGAATGTGTTATTGACAAATTATTTGGTATTTATTGAAAAATTAAGTTTTAAATATAATAAGATTGTTTGATAAGTACTGAATATATTAAAACTATATATATGACCATTTTAACCTTGCAATTATAAAATAATATTTTTTAATATAAATAAAAATATATACATAGACATGTCTATCCGTATAAATAAATAAAAATTCTACAAAAATGATTATTAATAAAAAATTTAACATGATTTAAGAGAGCATTAATTGTCGTATAATGCACAAAATAAATAAAATTAATTAGAGATCATTTTAAAAAGTATGTATAGCTAGGGTTATAAGAATATATTATGGCTAATTGGCTATATAGTTATTTTTAAAAAGTTAAACTGAATATGTTAATAAAAAATTTTTAAATTAAAAATTTTAATTTACCTTATTAAGTAGATTTTGATTGAATTTGAATTTTAAAAATAAGATTATTTAGAGCATGTTAATAAAAAATTTTAAATTAAAAATTTTAACTTACCTAATTAAATAGATTTTGATTGAATTTAAATTTTAAATATAAGATTATTTAGATTACCAAACAAAATTTTTATATTAAGTACTACAACTTAATTTTTTAAGTGTGATCTTTTAGTTTATTGGCTCGGTTTTTAATATTTTGATCAATTGATTTTTTTTTTAAATATCAAAACCAAACCAAATTATTATTTGATTTTTCAATTTCTAAAATCAAAATTTTGGTTTTTAATAAAGACATTTTTTTTCAAATTTAAAACAATGCAAATAGGTCAAACAAATTATGTTATGGACTATGAAGTTATTTCTTTAGACCAAATGATCTAGATTAGGGTATATAAAACATAAGTTTAAATAAAAGCACAAAGTCATACCACATAAATAAAGTATCAAAATTGAAATACGAGTCTACCAGTTCACATTTAAAGTCCACAATGATAAAAAAAAAAAATAGATTGTTCAAACTTGTTGTAAACCGAACTATCAAAGTTTAAATAACAATCAAAAGTTCAAAATGTTAAAAAAAAAAAAAAAAAAAAAAGCTTTTGGTGAAAATCAAATCCAAAGTTTCAAAAAACAGATCAAAACTGAAATTATTTTGATTTATTTTTTAGTTAAAAATTGAATCAAAATTGATATTTCAATCTAGATTTTCAGTTTAAACTAAATATTGTTCACTTTTAATTGGAATATAATACTTGTACCATGTTTTCCAATTTAATGGAGCAAAACATCTAAGTAGGTGGTTCAACAACATTTGATTCAATTTTATAAAAAGAAAAAGAAAAAGAACACGTTAAATAGAATTGAAAAACTTGACATTAATGAACTTGAATAATCGAATTTTCTTTAGGTTATAAGTTTATGACAACTTTTTTCATAAGAGGCCATTTTAGAGTCACTAAAATCTTTCTTATCGTTTAAAAGAAAAAAAAGTATTTTTTGAGACATAACAATTAACAAACATTTTGACCAAACCTAGTAGGATTGGTTCATCGATAAGTTATAAATTAGTCCTTTTATACTCGAGAAATGAATTAAAAAGTTTTAGAAAACTAATTATTTAGTATTTTAACTAATGTTCATCTTGTGTAATTTAGTATTATTTTATTTCATAAATTGTTATCTTTTCTCATTAATCCATCTATATTTTTCACTTGTTTTTAAATAAAAATTAAAATAAATGGAAAAAATATTAAACTATAGAAACTAATTAATTTGTTTTTGAAAAAAAGAATAATTAATTTATTGCTCGAAACTAGATGGACTAATTTATAATTTACTCATTGGTTCATAGTTTTCTTTTAAAAAAATTAAGCAGCAATAGCCATTGACAATTCTATAAAATTGATTTAAAATCTTTATTGTCTCTTATGATAGTTCTTTCATTGGTCAATCGTTAGAGGATAACATGAGAACATTTTAAGTTAAAATTATTATTTAGACAATATTTTTCTATTATATTTCGACTAAAAATATATTGATTGACAGGAAAAAAATAACATTTAAAATTTTATCAAAAGTACGCTAATTAGACAATAGTTAAAATTCTAACTAATACAATTAACAAAGGAAGAAGGTTGGATTTGAAAATTCATTATTCGATAAACAAAAACAACCATAAGGAATTTGATCGTTCAATAGAACACAAAACAATAGCAAAAAATAGATAAAATCCATACAAGCACGCTAGCCAAAATAGATAAATATAAAAAGAAATAAATAACCATTTTCGCGTGGACCAACATCAAATTACGTAAATAACCATTTCCGTGTGGAAAATAAAATATTACCTCGCATTTTTTTTCAGTTCCAAGTAAAGTTCGAAAAAGGCAAAATCTCAATTAAAAAAAGAAAAAAAAAGAGAAAGAAAAGAAGAAGAAAATCAAACGACGTTTCATTCCAAACAAAGGCCACCAACCATTTAAAAGCAAAGCCATTTTAGAACTCTACTGCTCTCTTCCACACTTACTTTCTCCATTTGTCTCTTACTGAAACACTAATGGCGGCGGCTACATCCTTCTCTTCAACTCTCACCACTCCAACCCCATCGAAAAATCTAAAATCTGCACCATCAAGATCGCTGTTATGTGACAGCAATTTAGGGTTTTCATCATCACTCTCTTCTAAGACCTTCAAACTACTCAAAGATAGTAATGGTAAAATTAATGGTGGAGTTTTGGGTGCTAAGATGGTGGCATCGGTTCCTACTGTCAAACCCATGATTTCTCTTGATTTTGAGACCTCTGTGTTTAACAAGGAGAAGGTCTCTCTTGCTGGCCACGATGAGGTATTTGCTTATTTTCGATGTGTTATTTAAGGTTCATTTGAATGTAGCTAAGATCTTGGGTTTTTCAGTTGTTTAAGAAAGTGAAGATCTTTTTTTTTTTTTCTGTGTTGTTTTTTTCTTGGAGTGATAAAGAGACACGCTTTAATATGTTGTATTATGTTATTATTGTTCTTGATAGTGATGTTCTGTGGCTTTTGGTGCAGTACATTGTGAGAGGAGGGAGGGATTTGTTCCATTTGCTGCCTGATGCATTTAAGGGTATTAAACAGATTGGCGTTATCGGTTGGGGCTCTCAGGTGAATATTCTGTCTTTTGATGGCTTTTTTTTTTTTTTTTTGGTTTAAGTCATAAATTTGCAATATTGGATTTGCATAACTTGGCTCTCTTTTCATGCAAGTATACTTGTATGCTTTACTGCGGATTGCTTAGCATAAGCTGCTAACGAATAATTATCCCTTATTTATCTTAGGGTCCTGCTCAAGCTCAGAATTTAAAGGATTCTCTTGCTGAAGCAAAGTCTGATATTAAAGTCAAGGTAATTTGCACTCCGTTCTTATGGTCTGGGTTGGTATCTGTTTAGCAATTTGCTTGGACATGTTTGATCAATTTTCTTGGCTGAATATACATTCTTTACATTGCTGCTTTGCATGTTGCAGATTGGACTTAGGAAGGGTTCTCGTTCTTTTGCTGAAGCTCGTGCTGCTGGTTTTACAGAAGAGAATGGGACTTTAGGTGATATATGGGAAACTATTTCTGGCAGCGATCTAGTATTGCTATTGATTTCTGATGCTGCACAGGTTTGTTTATTAACACCGTTTGAGTTTGTACTTCTGAAGATGTTTGGTTCAAATTTTGAGATTGTTCCTTTGTGTTTGCCAATTTGTTGTTTTCTTTTCATTAGTGGCTCTGGATGTTTCAGTAAAACTAAAAATGCATTAAATTTGCTATTTAACATTCCTGCTCTTGTTGTGTGGAAAAATAAGCCAGATAAAGCTCTGGCATGTCAATAAAGCCATGCCATTCTGTTTCTTATTAACCTTTCTTTGCAATTGTTGCAATATAGTGAAAAAGAAGTTTTCAATAGTACATCTTCTCCTTTGACATTCCATATGTGAGGTTAAGATGATAGTTATGTTTTTTCAGAAGGGTATGTTACAAAATTTTCAAGCAAACCCTCTTGGAAGTTAATTTCATAATCATTTCTTGATGACTTCTCTCAAGTGCTCTGCATCTGGTAAATGTTTTTGAGGTATATATGTTGGCCTTATGGGGTCAACACTCAGCCTTTGCTTTGGAGAACGTAACTGGCCAAGACTAACAGCCCGACCCACGGTGCTATAATGGCACAGCACTTCTTGGGTGCCTGACACTTAGTGCAGGTCTCTTCTAACGTTGCATGAGGAAATAAAGCTGTGCCTTCACCATAAGCTTAAGCTTTTGGCATAGATGGTAGCGCTTGATCCAACCAGTTGGTAATTCCATAGTTAACCATGCTTAGGTGGGAGCAGTTTAATGATGGGTGACCGTCTGAGAAGTTACAATACATTGGTTCTTGTTATGAGCCAGATTAGGAAGAGAATGACAATGTTTCACCCTATGTTTCTTTCCTAGAACTTTTTTAGCTTTTCTTTTTCTTGTGTTGTCCGGTACTTTCTGTAAACTAGAGGGATTATAAAAGCTATCAGTTTTTTAAGAATTTAACTTTTATTGTTCTGTTCAAGTTAATGAAACAACACTTTGTAGTTTATGGGTTATCACATATAGTTCCATATCTTTTTGGTAGTTGATGGATGTCTGTTTTGTTTGTTGTCTCGTTTCTGTCAGTATTTTCCCCTCTTACAATTATAGTTTGGTCTCATGCAACAGGCAGATAACTATGAGAAAATTTTCTCCCACATGAAGCCAAACAGCATTCTCGGGCTTTCCCATGGATTTCTTCTGGGGCATTTGCAATCAACAGGACTTGATTTTCCAAAGAACATCAGTGTCATTGCTGTGTGTCCCAAGGGAATGGGTCCTTCTGTAAGGAGACTCTATGTTCAAGGCAAAGAGGTCAATGGTGCTGGAATTAATTCCAGTTTTGCAGTCCACCAGGTTCTCTCTTCCCCCCAAACCAACATGCACACACATGCAAACCCCAGATCTGTCTGCATGCATTAGGGCTCATTTCATTTCACTAACTCTTCGTATGTTTATTCCTCTCTGTGTGTACAGGATGTTGATGGTAGAGCCACAAATGTTGCCTTGGGATGGTCTGTTGCCCTTGGTTCACCTTTCACATTTGCCACTACACTAGAGCAGGAATACAAGAGTGATATCTTTGGGGAGAGGGGTGAGTGTAGTTCCTTATTCTTTTATTAGTTTACTACTGTTCTTGCTTGATACCTGACATTCTTTTTTATTGTTTTGTAGGCATTTTACTTGGTGCTGTTCATGGGATTGTAGAGTCCTTGTTTAGACAGTACACCGAAAATGGAATGAGTGAAGACGAGGCCTACAAGAACACTGTTGAGTGCATCACTGGAAACATATCAAGGACCATATCAACCAAGGTGCCTTGTGGTCAAATGAGAATTTCAAACTCTCCTGCTACTTCTCAGTTGCCTGCATTAATTTTGTTTAATCAGGGAAGGCAGGGATCAATAGTGTCATTAATTGCATTTCTTTGTTACGACAGGGCATGTTGGCTGTATATAATTCCTTGTCTGCAGAAGGCAAAAAGGAATTTGAGACTGCATACAGTGCCTCGTTTTATCCCTGCATGGAAATCTTGTATGAATGCTATGAAGATGTAGCCTCTGGAAGTGAGATTCGCAGTGTTGTTCTGGCTGGACGTCGCTTTTATGTATGTTCACTCTCTATCTGTTGCACTACCATACTGAAATGCGGGGAAAAATATTCTTTAACTTGAAATCTGAGAAGTGATATCTTCTTTTACATTTATGTTAAAGTTATGATCTCCTTTGCCCCGTGTATGAAGTTTGTTAAAGCTTGTATTGTTGTGATGTGCTATTCCTTTCGCAGGAAAAGGAAGGTCTACCTGCTTTCCCAATGGGTAAAATAGATCAGACACGCATGTGGAAGGTCGGTGAGCGAGTCCGAACTGCCCGGCCAGCAGGGGACTTAGGTCCATTGCATCCATTCACTGCTGGTGTCTATGTGGCACTAATGATGGCTCAGGTACATTACTCTTTTTTTGGTTACATTGGGATCAGTTGAATACTATGAAACCATGCTATATACCATATGAAGATCGTATTCGTAGAAGCCGTACTTATTTGATTTTTTATGTTGGATACAACTGACTGACTAGTTTCTTTCTGTGAAATCGAAATTATGTTTGGCCTGTTGGAATCAGATAAAGAAGCTCGTAGTAGCTGGTGCCTAATTGTTTTCACTTTTCTGCTGTCTAATATCTAATGAGCATTTTAAATTGCAGATTGAGATATTGAGGAAGAAAGGCCATTCTTACTCCGAGATCATCAATGAAAGTCTGATTGAATCTGTGGATTCCTTGAATCCATTTATGCATGCCCGTGGAGTTTCTTTCATGGTTGATAACTGCTCAACCACAGCAAGGTTGGGATCAAGGAAATGGGCTCCTCGTTTTGACTATATCATCACCCAGCAGGCCTTGGTAGCTGTGGACAATGGTACCCCCATCAACCGCGACCTCATCAGCAACTTCTTCTCAGATCCAGTGCATGGAGCTGTTGAAGTCTGTGCTCAATTAAGACCCACAGTTGACATTTCTGTGCCAGCAGATGCCGACTTTGTGCGACCTGAGCTCCGCCAATCTAGCAACTGAGATTTGAAGGGGAAACCTTTAGCTTGAGCCAGTGAGGATAATTCTTCCATATTAAGTCTGATGGAGTAACTTTCTTGAATTATCAGGAGAGTGTAGTTTTAATTATGAACTCGTAGTGCTAAATTATTATGTCTGTCTGTCTTGTTCTGCATGGAAACACGGGTATGTAGTTTTGTCTTATGTGCGTGTAGTATCATCAATAACTTTGTCTTTCCATTCTGCGAAGAAGTGAAATTTATTTCTGTTTTGATATATGGAAAGACCCTCTCATTATAGTAATCCTGCATCGTAGAATTTGAATGCTGAGAAAAGGGAGGTTGGACATGTAGGTTATGATAGTACTAGAGATGTTTTCTTCTTACTACTGTTGTCTCCACTGGTTGCTTTGCTTACACACTAAAACGAGGCGGGATACTTCAGAGCTACAGTCTCTTCTAAAGCGGCTGCCAAAGTAGAACTGGAAAATGGTTGGTTTGCAACTTTGCATCAAATTTGTATTGCTGCAGTGTTGAAAAAACGGCCACATCCAACTCGACCTATGATGTTAAAGAGTGAGTGAGATTGTGTTGGAAAAAGATGTTCGAAATTAGAAACTACTACCACAAGGTCTCTCGGGCTCATCCATGAAATCAAGATGTCTTACAACCAATGGTGACTAGAGACAAACCTATCAATCCAAACGTTGTGTTTTGCAACAGCTTCGAAATGATGTACACTTCGTTTTCACTCTTTTGCCATGAATGTATGCTGTTCGTCTTCACTCTTAGGGAAGTAAAATTAAGGGCAAACCTCGAATATACTCGCCAACTACAAACGGATTCTTGACTTGGTCCCTGATTTATTGTTCCAATTGGATTTTCAAAGGCTTGGAAAATTCTAATTTAAGTCGCTTGTCCATATCCGTTGAAGGATTCCATACAGATTGTATGTTATGCATTAAAAAGGTGTAGTTTTGTTGAAAGATTGATTTTTATTTTATTTTTTTGGTCAAAATTTGCTAAGAGTTCGTTAAGAAAACTCAACTGAAAGTTGAAACCTTAGAAGATTCGTTAGAGATTTCATTTTTTCTTAAGGAGCTTAATTAAAGTTTGGGCTTTAGTTCGGGGGCTGATTTGAAATTTTCCCAAAAATGAAAAATAAATAAATAAAAAGGAAAAGACTTCTGTGCTAAGGTAAGCATTTGAAAATGGAAAGCATAAGACACTGTCATAACGTGAACCGGAAATCAAAGACCCCCTGATTTTATTTCTATCGCTCTCTCCCGCGCAGGAACGAACCCCTTCCTTATATATACACCATCATCACCTTCATTTAAATTCTTTCAAACCTTTTTTTTTTTTGAAAAAATCAAACCACTCTTCCTCTCCAGAAAAAAATAAGATCTTTAAGGATCGAAAATGGCCAGTAGATTCGGGTTCCAATCATCGACAATGATCGTGACGAACACACCAGGGGCAGATCTCGCACTCACAAATCTAGCGTACTGCTCACCCTCCGATCTCCACAACTTCGCCGTCCCTGGAACCAAACTCTTCTTAGCTTTAGTCGCTGACGCCTTCGTTCTATCTCTTTCATATCCTTGATTTATTATTCATTGATCTTCATATCACTATTAATTGCACTAGTTTTTTATTAATTTGATTATTATTGTTAATAATAATTAGGTTTTTTTTCATGATGATCAAACAGAGAATTGACTTAATCGTGTTGTTTATTGTGATAACTTTGTGTTAGTTTAAGTTGCATGACCATTTTTTATTTAATTATTGGCAATAAAAGTATTAATTAGGATTTTTGAGTTTCTGCCCTATCATAATCTATGATTTTAAATTTATTCTCTTTTTTGATGTCCGGCAAGTTGATAAATTAGATACTTAAAACGTTAGTGCATATGTGTCTTTGTAACGATTTTAGTCAGTTCTTAGTTGAAGTAATTACAATTTGGTAGCCTTAACTAAGAGACTAAGAGTTACTCCTCATGAAAATATTCGTACTGGCCAAATTGCGCTGAATGCGATTCAGCGAAGGCATGCGAGGGTTTCATCCGGTGATACAGTATCTGTGAGCAGGTAGATTTAGTTGCAGTTTTTTTTTTTTTTCCTTCGTTCTGCAGTTTCTAATTTTTTGTTTGGGGCTTTTTTAGGTTTATCCCTCCTGAAGATTTTAACCTTGCATTGTTAACACTTGACTTGGAATTTGTGAAGAAGGGGACTAGAAATGAACAGGTATGTAAATTGGAAACCATGATCTTTTGATTATGGCGGCATTAAATTTTGCACTGCTTTATGGAGGGCAGCAGGATTAAGAGCTGTTGCTATTGTTTTGTAGATTGATGCTGTTCTTCTGGCCAATCAACTTAGGAAGAGGTTTGCTAACCAGGTAGAGCTATATTTCCACTACTTGTTGTATATCATTGAAAATATTGCTCAGTTCTATTCAGGTTTATTTAGATTGGAGTTTTACTGTTAATCTAGTAATTTGTGTTGTTATTGATTGACAAGTACAGTGAAGTAATTGTACTTTTCATATGCATGTGCTAGAATCATGAGTTTTTATATTATTTTTTCTGATTTTTCTTGCCAAATAAAAACTGCTTACGTGAAGCTTGCTGGTTGAGACTACAAGTGATTAAATTTTAGAAAGAATGTAAGATTGGCGACCTATCACTTTTTATCAATTTGAACTTTAAAAATGAACGTTCGGATAAGATCAGACATGAGATATCTTGTGAATTTGACTTTTTTGTGATGCCCATCCCTCTCTCTCTCTCTCTCTCTCTCACATATGCACAATAATTTTTCCTTCTAAAGTAGCATTTGGCACAAGGTTAAAAATTGAAAGGGAGTTTTTACAAGTGTAATTATTACAAGAGTAATTGTAAGGGACCAAAATTTAGCTTTAAGGAGGTTTGGTGAATTAATAAGTCGAAGGGTAAATTGTTAGTGAAGGTAGAGAAAATAATTAAAATATTAGTTGTGATTTGAGACAGAAAAAAATTATCTGGGTGTCTTTTTGAAAAAAGAGAGAGAGAGAGAGAATGAAAAGAACTAATTTTGCTGGTGAGGTTAAATTTTATCCTCCATGCTTGCAGGATGAAATTTAACTGCTAAAAGCACCAATTGAGTTTAATATTTCACCTTTCCCATAAAAGGTAACAAGCAAACTTAATATTACGAGGGCAATTTTTTATCTAATTACCCTTGAACCAGACATATCCTAATTAGTTATATCTGACTGAGATTTCAGTTTTTGATTTTGATCTATTATTTGCAAATTGTGCTTAAGGTGTGGAATTTGACCTTGTTGTATTCAGGTTATGACATCAGGGCAAAGAGTAACGTTTGAGTATCATGGAAACAACTACATATTTACAGTCAATCAAGCCGTTGTGGAGGGACGAGAAGATTCTAATGACATCGAGAGAGGAATGATTTCAAGTGACACATTCATTGTCTTTGAAGCATTAAATTCAAGTGGCATAAAGGTCAAATTTTGATAATTGTATTGTGAGCTTGTCTTTATTCTCAATGCTTAACATAGCGTGAATAGATGATGCCTTGCTGCTTCTCACCTTTGATTTGTTGTTCATTATAGCATGCGTATACCATGTTAAGTTGTATTTCCTTTCTTTTTATTAATTAAGCTAACTAGAGGTATTTTGTAATTTGTCGTTGATGCTTCCATGCTTGTGTCAGTCTAATCTATGAAATAGTGCCATCCTAGATTGCGTAGAATTTGTGTTGGTAAATACTTGGCGTACCAAACTTGGTGGGGGAAAGAGTGCTTGATGCCTTCTTATTGTGGACATTAGTGACAATTAAAACTATTTCGATTGACTGTCCTTACGGATTGGTCCTCTTTAGGAGAGTAATGCTCTAATCTAACCTGCTGACCATAATTATGATTTGATGAATTTGATTGAAAATTTTTGGATTTGTTGACATGTGTTCGTGCAGATTGTCAATCAGCGTGAAGCTGCCAGTAGCAACATCTTTAGGCAAAAGGAGTTTAATCTTCAGTCACTAGGTATAGGTGGTTTAAGCGCAGAGTTTGCTGATATATTTCGAAGAGCTTTTGCCTCTCGTGTTTTCCCTCCTCATGTGACAAGCAAGTAATACAATTAGTTCTTCAAGTTATATTGATCCAATTTGGGATATGTACATGTTCTTGCTGTTAATAAGCATTTGATGTTCCAGATTGGGGATCAAGCATGTAAAGGGCATGCTGCTTTATGGGCCTCCTGGCACTGGAAAAACTCTTATGGCTCGCCAAATTGGAAAAATGTTGAATGGAAGGGAGCCAAAGGTTCGGAATTGATTTCTCACTTTTATTCTTTGTGTTTGTGTGTGCATATGTTTGTTGGTTTGCTAGCAGGAAAATAATATACGGCTTTTTGTAGCTAGTGTCATCTGAAATTTACATTTACTTCTATTATTGATGCCTATCTCCACGCCTAAGAGTTCTATTACGTTTGATGTGTGGGAATTTTGACATTTTAAATTGATGCTTCATAAGACTTTGTGTTCTTGTTTATAAAACTGATGTTTTAATGAGCAGTAGAGTATTGTTGGTTTCCTTGTGTATTCAGTGGAACACTACATTTCAGGATCTTATAAGCCATCCATCTTAGGTATTAGTAATGATGTATTTCTACCCTGTGTGAAACTTTTGAGGTCATTTGTTGGATTTTGGCATTGGAAGTGTATGTTTGAATTACATCTTATAATTTTTATGTGACAGTTCAGATTCAAGAGTGAAACAGTATATTGTAATGGGACATCAGTAACGACTTTATGTTCCTGTCAGTTACTGTTAATGCTGAATTAATGTGTAATTTTCTTTGTTTGGTAACACTGTGCAAGATTATTAATGGCCCTGAAGTCCTAAGCAAATTTGTTGGTGAGACTGAAAAGAATGTTAGAGACCTGTTTGCTGATGCTGAAAATGATCAAAGGGCCAATGGTAAGGGACATCTTTGAACGCAGTATGATTTTAGGTACTCTCTCCTTGATGCTAATGCCATCACTACTTTCACTTTTCAGGGGACCAAAGCGATTTGCATGTAATAATCTTTGATGAAATTGATGCCATATGTAAGGTACGAGATTTCTGAACTCTTAGTTTACTTTCACATAAGTGGAATTTATTGCCTGTGTTGTTTAGCCTTTTTTCTTTTAACCACACCACTGTCCACGACTGGAGAGTCATTTTTAATCTAGAGCAGCATTCATCTATGGTGATTGAAAGTGCTTTTTTATCCTAGTTTGTTGGTTGGTAAAGTCTTTTGCAATTATATCTTTCCAATTTAGTGAGAAAACAGTTATGATAACCCTGAATAATGTTAAGCTAATTTTGAATTGAAGAGTGGATTGGTAACAACATTTATTCTGAAAGGGAGAAGAGTAAAAGGAAGTTGAGACAGGAAAGTAAAAGAGAGGACTAAAAAACAAAAGCAATACGAGAATAGAAAGTGACAAAAAAGAACCATTGAAAAGCCAATTAAGTGCACTGAGAGTGTGGTAAGGGATTTATTTAGAAGAATAGTATTCAGGCATCTTTAGATGAGAGAGGCATTTATATATAAATAAATATATGGTGTTTCTCAGGAAAGGTATACCAACTTTGATTGTGGTTCTCTTTCATGTACGTGTATATCTTAGTTGTAAAAACTTTAAGCAAGCACACATCTCTACCATGGTTGCATTTGCTCACGTGATAATCTGTCAGTGATATAGTGCTCCCTAGTGTCCATGTACATTGGAATTGAAGCTGTCTATATGCATTATATAAATTATAATAGAAGAAATAATACATCTTCTATTTTGTTTTTGCAGTCAAGAGGATCAACTAGAGATGGTACAGGAGTCCATGATAGCATTGTGAACCAGCTACTTACAAAGGTTGGCGAAGAGTTCTCAGTGCTTTCTGAACATTTTAGAAAATCAATATAATTTTTCCTCAGCCATTATGATCTGCTTATGCGTGTTTCTAATAAAAAGCCTTAGTGACTCCATCAACATGACTAAGAGACTGCTTGCTTTTCAGATAGACGGTGTGGAGTCCCTGAACAATGTTTTACTTATTGGAATGACAAACAGAAAGGATTTGCTAGATGAAGCACTTTTGAGGTTAATCCCTTTCTGTTTATCTGTCACTCACGTAAAACAGCATCCCAAGCATCAGTTGCAAATGATCAAAAAAAATTGAAGTATAATTAGTTTGGTGAATTAAAATGTGGAAGTCCATCTTAAACTCAGTTTTTTATTTTTATTTATTTATTTATTTATTTATTTTTTGTGGCTCTGATGGAAATTATGGTGGTGCAAAACAAGAAAAGTAATGCAGGACAACAAAACTTCTATTTGAACAAATATCTTTTCATCTTTGAACATTTTGATTCTGTGGTTTGTAGGCCAGGACGATTAGAGGTTCAAGTTGAGATAAGCCTTCCTGATGAAAATGGTCGGCTGCAGATTCTTCAAATTCATACGAACAAGATGAAAGAGAATTCTTTTCTTGCTCCCGATGTAAATCTTCAAGAGCTTGGTATGTATGCTCACACAATGATTTTGATTGGAATTGAATATTATCCTAGAGTATTTATGATGTTTGTTTGAATATTAAATTTTGGTATATCAAGGAAAACATATAACTGTTGGATTATCAGAACTACCAAACATTAGCAAAATAATAGAATGAAATAGCTTTTTCTCACTTTTCTTTTTGGAGTTTTTTTTTTTTTTTTTTTTTTTGGGTTTTTGGTTTTGGGGTTGGGGTTGGGGTTGGGGGGTGGTAGAAGTAGGAGTGTGGAATGATGGTTTGTGTCCTGCCTTATCATATTTGTAGGTCAAGTTATTTGCCTTCGAATGGGACTGCTTAATATTTGTAAAATTGTTTTATTTGCATACAGCTGCTCGTACAAAAAATTACAGTGGAGCGGAACTTGAAGGTGTAGTGAAAAGTGCAGTTTCATTTGCTTTGAATCGACAACTAAGTCTAGATGATCTTACCAAGCCAGTTGATGAAGAGAGTATTAAAGTTACGATGGATGACTTCTTGCATGCGCTCTATGAAATTGTTCCAGCATTTGGAGCCTCCACTGATGACCTTGAAAGATGCAGGTAGAGTTAGAAACTTTTTGCTTTGCTTGAAATCATAAATTTCTTGTGAATCAGGCTCTCAAAAAAGTAAATAGTCTTGTTGACAATATTGAATTTCTATTTAGCTTGATAATTCTAATGGAAGTAGAAAACACAATCTCAATTAAACTAAATGCCTAAATCGTGCTACATAACATGACTGTAGACTTAATGGTATGGTGGACTGTGGTGATCGACACAAGCATATTTATCAGAGAGCTATGCTACTAGTGGAACAAGTCAAAGTCAGCAAGGGAAGTCCATTGGTTACTTGCCTTCTGGAAGGTCCAAGTGGCAGGTAAACATTGTCCCTTCCCTTTTACATTTCTCTTTTTCATTTGCTTCACCTAATTTCTTCTATTGCCAATTTTTTGAATGTTACTCTCTTGTACAGTGGTAAAACTGCTTTGGCAGCTACTGTTGGCATTGACAGTGATTTTCCATATGTCAAGATAGTGAGCTCTTTCCCCATAATATATATCCATTTTTGTCGTCACTTTGATACTGTATGTTTTTGTTCTAAACTTTTGAGTTTCCACTTATTTGATAGATCTCAGCTGAAACAATGATTGGTCTCCATGAGAGCACTAAATGTGCACAAATTGTTAAGGTATGTCAATGGGAAGTTTACAGGCTCTTGTACAAAGCTCTGATGGTAACCTAGGGTCTTATACAAAGGTCTGATGGTAACCTAACGTCTTATTCTGCTTTTCATTTTTCCCTTTTAAATTGGAACTTGAATGTTTCCGCATCCCCAATTTTATACTAGTTATCCTTGTTAACAATTGCTATCAATCTATAGCATATTTGTGACTCTTTTTTGTTACTTTCATCCGCAACTAGTTGAATTTGGCTTTATAATATAAAGAATTAAGCCTTGGATATTTTGGTACTTTTCATAGGTGTTTGAGGATGCATACAAGTCTCCTTTGAGCATTATAATTCTTGATGACATTGAGAGGTATCTGCTTCGGAATTTTGCAATTTTATTGACTTAAATCACTTGCTTTGGCCCTAGTCCTGTGTTTTTATTTTAAATGAATATTTTTCCCAAGATCAATCGGTACTTAATTGCTGTTGCAGATTATTGGAGTATGTTGCTATTGGGCCTCGCTTTTCAAATATAATTTCTCAGACATTGTTGGTACTCCTCAAACGTCTTCCTCCCAAGGTTATCTTTCTTCCCTTTTTCTCTGTTTTTGGCTATGGTTACCTTCTTCCATATTTTGTGGTCATGTGTTCTTTTGTGGCTCCATGCAATATTAAACATCTTTCAGTTTTTACAAAAAGAAGAAGAGAGAAATTTCCCTCTTCCATTCAGCTTTGAACTGTATTTTGCACATAATTCTCTCTCTGATTAGCCTTCGAACCTTGAACCCTCTGAATGGTCGAATAATTATATCTACATATGAAATGTCACTCTCTCCCTCTAAACTGATGTTGCTTGTTAGGTCAAGTAGCTCTTTTGGGTTGATGTGTTGGTCATACTAATAGTTTTTCCCCAACAGAAGGGAAATATAGTGAATTATGTTCTGTCTATTTTGAATGAATTGAATTTTGTTGGAGCAACAATGCATAGCTTGGATTTATGCAATCTTGAATTTGTTGTGAATATTATATGAGTTATTTGGTTGTGAAGGATTGCTGCTGTTTAAAAAAAAAAAAAAACAGTAAAAATAAAGGTTACGTTGGTACTGAATATAGGTTATTAATGCAATGGCCAAACTTATTTTTGTTCAGTACTAGTGATTATCATCCTCCACATTGTTGCAAATGGCAGCTTATGAGAGCCATAATGCCATTCATGATTGTTTAACGAATTATTCATCTTGGGTCTTTTTTCTTTTTTATTCTATGTGATTGGTTAGTAGTTTTCCTGACCTTATCAAACCTGCAGCTATATAATTTTTTAACTTTGTTTTCAGGGAAAGAAACTTCTCGTGTTAGGGACAACAAGTGAAGTAAGCTTCTTGGATTCAGTTGGCATTTGTGATGCTTTCTCTGTTACTTACCACCTTCCCACATTGAAGACAGATGATGCGAAGAAGGTAAATGGTCCATCTGATGATACACTTTTGTTCATCCTTTTGCAGTTTTGTTTTTGTAGTCATTACATTAAGCAAAGATAGGAGTGGAAAACGTCTGTTTTGTTCATGTTATTCATAATCAAGCATTTCTTGTAAACCAACAAAATTACGTAATCTTTTGAATAATGGTTTCCACTGGAATGATGAATGTGGAAACTGTTTAAAGGTTGCGGTCTTGTAGCTAGGATGGGGAAAGGTCATCATATATCTATTTCCTTTTTTCTAATGTACTGTGTTTGTTACTTGCATTATGTTAGTTAATTAAAAACTAATTTACTTTGCCTCAAACTTGACTAAAAAATTCTTACATTCTATTTCAAAGGCTTTTAAGATTGGTGCCGGCTGGAAATAATTGATTTGTCACTAGGGATGTTGCTTGCAATGATACATCTGGCCATTACTACTAAGAGATGTTTGGACAGCACTTTCTCTATGGATGCTATGCTTGTTCCCAACTCCCATCTATAATCACTTTTCTGGATTCTGGATAAGATAATTCAAATGCGACCTCACATTTGTTAGTAACTCAGAGAGTAAATACTTTACAGAACCTTTTGTGTTTTCTACATTAATATGCTACATTCCTCTCCAGGTACTGGAACAACTCAATGTTTTCTCTGAAGATGATGTCAGTGCTGCTGCAGAAGCCCTGAATGATGTAAGATTATCTGCTGAAATGCTTATTTTATACTCCATTTTGCTCCCAAAACTGAGATCTGGTCCTGACTCTAGTGCATCAGGGAGATATGAATTGCTCTTCTAATGCTATTGGATGCCTCCCTTGTTAGTAGATTGGTCATTGCATATTTAATTTGTGAATCATAAGGTAGCCAGTTTCTGATGGAGGCTACTTCATTCACGTATTCATCCATCAGTAGATTGCTCTTTTATTCGTCATTTATGGACATGATGATTTAGGATTTTGATTATTACCCTTCTCTAGGAATTAAAATGGCCCAGTTTATACAATGTTGCCATTTCTTGCAATCACAATGTGGCCTTATGAATTGGTCTGAGTCTTTGGCTGAACTGTGGTATTTAAGCAATGATATGGTCACGATATCTCAATGGAGGAATTTTGTTTCAGCATTATTGGCTGAACTTGACTTTAGTTGAATAACAAATAACCATCTAGGATTTTTTCCCTAGATTTTTTATATTTAAATTGGTAAACCAACAGTTTTCTGTCTTTATACTCACTTTTAACCTCGTTTCTTTCTTTAATTTATCTTCATAGATTACTATCAAGAAGCTCTATATGTTGATTGAGATGGCAGCCCAAGGGGAGCAAGGTGGAGATGCGGAGGCAATCTATTCCGGTAAAGAGAAGATTAAGATTGCGCATTTTTACGATTGCCTTCAGGACATGGTGCGATTTTAATTCAAAGCTCTCGCATGACCTTACCAAAAACTTCACCTCGTCTGATATTCACTCGTCCTCACGAAAGCATTCCTCTCCCATTTTCAATTTTTACTTCATCCTTTGTGGCAATTTTTGGTTGTATATTTTTGTAATTTTTATTTAGTGATTTGCTTACTTTGAGCTTTTGAGGCACTAAGGTTTGTATGAGGCTTTTAAAGTTCCCATGTGTTTGGAAACGAGAACAACGCAAAGGATTGAAAGGGATTTATAGACTTGCGGAACACTATTATTTATGTGCTAAAGCAGTAGACAGATGATGAATTGACGAGTTTTTCACCACGTTATGCTTGCTACTGGCTTCTAGTACGGGAGATCAACTGCAAATAACCATTTTTAAAGATTTGACCACTTGTCGTATTAAAACCGTTCGTGTTTTCCATTAGTTATGGCCATATGCATTCTTAAAGTTGAGGATGCTGTCAGGACTGAATAAAACATGCCTTGGGAACCTGCAAATTGTGAACAGATTAACACCCCGAGAAAGGGTCCCCTAATCACGTAAAATTACTGGAAATGGAAGACCCAAAATTACTGTAAATCTGTCATGAATCATGACATGGTAATTAGCCTGCATTAAAAGACGTGAATTGAGTGAGTCGATCCTTCGCAGGACGATTGACCGATGTTTTCCAACATAAATCCATGCGATTTTACAATTTCATATGGCTTTGTGCTTTAATTCAGTCACATGCTAGATACTCACTGGAAAGCCACTTTTAGAGGTTTGTTCTATCTGCATCTTGCTCAACACCAAAACATAAATATATAAGCAAACTCCCAATCACACACAAAAAATCAGGTGCTTCATTATGATAACAAAATACATATATATTTACCCAGAGTTGTTCACTAAGGTAGTGAGTGACTATATATTTCATCAAAAGGAAAATTACAATCCAATAAAAAAAAGGATTAAAAAAAAAAAAAAAGAAATCCCAGATTAAGGAAAATACTAAACAGTATAACCCTAATCATACTTCTCTCTCCAAGAATAAACCAGAAATAAAATCCAAGAGAGACCCAGTACGATATCACCAACCGTCTGTCTCAGCCAATCCCAAGCCAACACCTCAACTCTCCTCTCAAAATTAACCCTCCAAAGAGCCATGAAAACATGAAGAAGCGTACACCCTTTAGCAAAGAAAGATTGAAACTCTCTATCCTTAATAAAAGAGACCATGAATATCAACAACCCAATAGAAAATAAGAGCAACCCCGAAAAAGAGTCGGAGGTCCGAATCAGGAGCTGGTCATGTGGGGTAGAACCCATCAGCTTTGTTGCAGTTTCATTCCCATGTGTGAAGGTGTACATTTCCTTCATGTGGAACATCATGAGTGTCCCACTTGTTATGGCTATCAGAGAGTGTAGGATACATATCACAGGAAAAGCTGATGAAGATGATGACATTTGAGGGTTGATGATTTAATCTGACGGTTGTGATTTGTTGGGAATTGAGGCATGGTTTTAAGGGATCATTTCGAGGAGATGGGGAACAGAGGAACAAGAAAAAGAGGAGAAAATAGTTGTTTTGGAGATGCCAAGAAATTGAAAGTTTGTCAGTGTGGGGGAGATGTATGTATGCTTGCATGTATGTTGGTGTTTAAGATAAGGATATCGTGGGGCCTAAAATAGTCATACATGGCATAGGCCTAATGGTCTGAAGATTGGACACGTGTCGTGTGTTTAATTGTGCCGACTTAAAATAACGACTGTGCTTGTGTACTGAATGATGGAACCAGTCAGTCATGGAGCATGCAGGCTAATTAGCCCTAATTGGGTAGTGAAAGCTTTGATTTCGAAGGTTTCTCTCTTGGTAGATGTAATTATGGAAAATAAAATAAAAGTCAAAGTTTGTGTTTGGAATTGCAACTGGATGTAATCATCGTGGTCTTTGAAAATGAAAATGCTAAGGAGAGCAGGTTTTTACTTCCTTTATTTTAACGATATTTTTAAGTGAACCGCGAGAACTGCCGCATGATAGTTAACGTGACTCTGAACTCTAAGTACGTCATCATTCTATACTCTAGTGGCTATAAGTATTAAAAAAAAAAAAAATCAGTAAGTGAATATTGAGATAGAAAAAAAATTTGGAGATTCGATATCTAAACAAAAAAAATTGAATAGTTACACACCAAAAATATAATTTTCACAAAAAATTTATTTCAGTTTTCCTTTTATTTTCTAATATGTCCCTTCTTTATTATAAATAAATTTTATATATCTTTTGTGCTATATATATATATATATATATATATATATATATATATATATATATATATAAAAGTCATATAATTTCAAATTTCAATAACTTACATATATTTTTTTTATTAATATGCTAATTGCATAAGTAGTTTTAATAATGCATTTACTTCTTCATTTAATTCTCACTTCACTTATTACTTCTATCATTATTATCACTACTATTATGAGTATTACAACTTCAATGTCCAAACAAAAAAGCTTAATTATTAAATTTATTTATATCGATTCTATTTCATCTCGGTCTATTATAGAAAGTTCAATTATTTATTGACAACATAAACCTTATGTCACCAATGATGTGTTAGTCGATCTTCTTCTTAGATAGAGAAAACAATTTTTGTTTTTTGTAAATTTTTTCATTGATCAACTATTTATTTCGCAAATAGCAATTATAATCGGACCTTATATATGTCTTTTGTTTTTTTGAATTTGATCTTAATTGGATTTTATATATATTTGGACTAAATGAGACTAATGTTAAATTTGTATGGACAACTTAAAAAGTTTAGAATTTTCAAAAAATAATTTTAACTAATACAAAGTACTGAAAAATTATCTTTGATAAGTAGAAAATGCCATGAGCATGATCCGAAAAATATTTATTGATAATGCAATCAAATGAAAATTGTTGGACTAATTTTACAATTACAAAATGTATTTTTGATGCCTTTTTTTTTTGTATATGAAAAATTGTCTTTGATAAGTCAAAAATGCCACGAGCATAACTTTTGATTTTTATTTTTTTTATATGAGTGTCCACGACTACTAAGAGTATGAAGTAATGACCTATTTGTAATTGACTCGTCACGTGACATTTTTGAATGCCACGTGACGGCTCTATTGGACACGTTAGTAAAATTAAAGTTTAAGTGAATTCAAGCACCTAAACAAATAAAGAATTGAAACTTGGATAGCAAGTTATTAGAAATTAACGAGTTGAATATCAAAACAAAAAAATAATAAAAAGTTGTGCATAAAAAACGTCGTTTTCTCTTTTAAGTAATTATAGTTTTTGCTAAATTTAATTTATTTTCTTGTAATTGAATTGGTTCTTAAACTTTCCAAGTAGAGTAATTTGGGCCTCATAGGGATTCTGGAGTTTTTAGCCGAGAGGGAGAACCTTCAAAATCTGTTTGGAAATAAGGAGTACCACAAATTTCATAAGCTTTTTAAAATAAATTGGAATGATGAAATAAATAAATATAAAATAAAAGGATATATTTTAAACCTTTCAGATTTATATTTTTTGTATTTTTTTAAATTGATCCTTAATTATTTTCTAAAAACTACTTTGATATTAATATTTAATGAACTTATTATTTCAGTAATTTAAATGAAAGCATTTTCATCAACATACAATTTTTCAGGTTTGAAGTTAAGTTACAAACTATAAGCACAATCACAATCACATAAAGAACTAAAGATTAAGAACAAAAATGATTAGATGCTGCCAATGTTTGCTAGGGTGTTTTTTTTATGGTAAAAAAGTATTCTTAAATTAGTTTATGCATTAAAAAAAAAAACACTACACTTACGTTGCTCTATATGTCCCATCTTAATGATCGGCTTGGGCTGACTAATTGTATAGGACGGATAAGGAGACATAGGGGACAAGAAACATATATGCTTTCATAAAAGAGTACCTTCGTAAGGAGACTCAGAGGACAAGAAAGCAACGGGTTAAGTATATAAAAAAGGTACGAGACACATATGCACACACAACATTATCTATCTCTATTCCTCATACACCTTGGATAGAATGGTACTAACTTGAGTATCCAAGGAGCTTAACCGAATTGATTCCGATGTAGCCATCTTCTATAGGATTTGAAGCTCACGAAGGATATTCCCATCTACAATACGCCAAGATGTATGACAACTCTCGCTTAGAAGTATATATTTACGATTTATATAGGTCTTTTGTATCAAAGAATGATGTTGATCACCAAAAATACAAGATTTTTTTTTTTTTTTGGCTCCGGTGGGACAAGGAAACTGAAAAAAAAAATTATGATATATAAACTCAGTCACCTAAAAAAATGCCAAGAACAAAGTATTTGATTGTTGTGATTTATGAAGAAATAAAATATTTTTTGTAGCGTCTTTAACCTAATTCCTTATAAAAACTTCGTATAACTTAGCCAATTTAGTTCTAGAAAACTCAATTAATCACAAAATATCACTTAGGACCGTTAAAACCTCATATTAGAAAGATTAGGAATTTTTTTTTTTTTGGGGCGAGCGGGTTACACGGCCTCCAACACGGTCGTGTACTTGTCCGTGTAACTTAAAACTCATTTTCCCTTAAAAATAGAAGGTTACACGGCCTTCCACACGGACGTGTACCTTCTCGTGTACATTTCTGCTCAAAACAAGGGTTTTTCGGCCATAACACTTCAAAACCTAATCAACAACATTCTTTCCACTTATAACCCTTGGATATTCAATCAAAACCACTTTTCTTTGTTTATAAACATGTCTCAAAACACCTCCAGGAGTTCATATTTACATAGTTACATATACAATTCAAAAATCTCCTAGGATGCATATGCTCGGCATAATGAGAGAGAGGAGATGGAGATCGCCAGTCGACCTGTCACTCATGACGTGAATTGAACAACAAAAGATGACTTTAACTTTCACTTCGCTTCTTAGTACCTAAAAAGATAATTGTATTTTTAATGAGATGCTTACTCAATGAGAGAACAATAATCCATTGAAACCATAACATGCGATCACGTCATCTAGTATCATCACATATAAACAATACGAGTAGTTCATATGACTCTAAGATTACATGCTTTTCTTTTTCTTATCGGTTATAACTTGGACATGTCAAGTTTCACCCAGGTACTTGTAAACTTATACACATGTATTGCTTGGTCGGCTTTTATAACTTGTAGTTGACCTGTTGGGTCCTTGTAAACTTGTATTTACGAAACTTGGACAAGCCAATCATAACCTTAACCTCTTAGTCTTGCATATATCATGAATATTTCACATATAGCATATACAACATCCATAGCTTACACCATCGTACATATCCTTTATAACATCAATAAACATAACGTTTGTGTTAACTAGCAAACGACACATCATTCATATCATAGTATCAATATCAATAAACATAATATTGTTATAACATCAATAAACACAACGTTTGTGTCAACTAGCAAACGGCACATCATTCACATCATAGTATCAATATCAATAAATATAATATTAGCACTCAATAGCAATAACACATCATGACACAACTATTATTATTCAACTCACAAAAATGACGTCTTCGCCGTTTATCAATGCGTCGCGTCTTAAACCTCAGGCTCCTCGGCGTCTATAAACACATACACATATACTTTTATAAGTCATTTTATCATGATCAAACTTCTAAATATGCTCAAGGTACAAAATATGACTTTAGGGTTAACTTATTTCTTTATGGGTACTTGACCCCTTTTCACTCTTTCTACCATAAGTCCCAAAATACATATTCAAATGATGCAATTCTAGTTTCACATGAAACTAGACTCATAGGGCTCTAACATATCCAAAAATCAAGTCTAGGTACGAAATACACAACTCATGGTGATTTTCTAAAAATCAGAGTTGCTGCCATTTCTTTATGGGTACTTGACCCCTTCACAGTTCACACTCTTTGTACTATAAATCCTAAAATACAGGGTAAAATGACAAAATTCTAGTTTCACATGAAACTAAACTCAAAGGGATCTAACATATCCAAAAATCAGCCTAATATTCCATATACATGATTTATTTTAGATTTTCAAACTCTAACTAGTTTCCAGCACCCTTGTTACCGAGCAGTCTCCAAACAAACAACAATAAATCTATATTGGGACATAATCAAGACCTAATTATTTTTTTAAAAAGCACTAAACATATCAATATAAAACATATCCAAAAATCAGGTCGAAATACTCAATACCTAAATAATACCATATTTTTAAAGTTTGCACACTAATCTGCCAGCATCAGATCACCTAGAACAACATGTGTTCAAACCATCATAAACCAAAATATAAATCACTAAATACAAAACCCTTTCACAGAGAGCTAAATAAGACACAAACCAACAATTGTTATTCTTACAACTTGTTCCATATCTGATCCTAAAGTCTCGA